TTCGGTTCTCCCAACCCCCCTCCCCACCTGTGAGACAAATATTTTCCTACAGCAAAAGCAGCCCTAGAGCCATAAAATCGCTCTGGGTAATTACCACTTTCTTAGATTTCAACAAACGTCTTCGTGTGAAACACCAATCCCCCATTTCCAAAAGTGTAGGATTGCCTCCTTTCTAGTCTGGGACCAGCTGCAACTGCAGCTGGGTGTTTTGGTAAGGGGGTGGGACACGGAATCCAACTTTCCTCAGGATTGGAGGGGAGCAGAGGGTCTAGGGAAGAGGAGAGAGCTAGGACTTCATGCACTGGGGAGATATCTGAGGAGAGATGGAGGTTAACCACCACAGCAAGTGGAAACAGCCCCAGAGCCTAAGGGGCCGCATGCCTTCCATTTTATTTTATTTTTTTACTTTTTATTTTATGTGTACAAGTGTATTGCCTGCATGTATGTGAGCGCACCCATGTATTGCAATGCCTCAGAGGTCAGAAGAGGGCTTTGGATTCCCTTGGAACTGGAGTTAAGGACAGTTCACAGTGGCCATGTGGGTGCTAGTAATCGAACCCAGGTCCTCTGCAAGAGCAGTCAGTGCTCTTAACTGCTGAGCCATCTCTCCAGCCCCTTTATTTTACTTTTTTACTTTTTATTTTTTTGTCTTTTTGAGACAGGGTCTCCCTGTAGCCCCAGCTGGCCTGGAACTCACTATGTAAACCAGGCTGGCCTTGAACTCACAGAGATCCGCCTGTCTCTGCCTCCTGAGTCCTGGGATTAAAGGCGTGCACCACCGTGGCACTGCCTTCCATTTTAGAGCTGCACAGGAGCCCTGAATGGGCTGTGGGGCAGGAGATACCCTTTGAAAAGCTGCGGACTATACAAGAATGACTCTGGAACTGAAAGGTGCGCCCCCATGGGGCCAGCAGGGACTCCATTCCCATCTTTGCTTGTTGTAGCTCTTTCAGCTAACCTCAGCACTTACAGCCATATCTGCCTTTCTTGCTCTGCTCTTGCTGAAATTAAAGATCAAAGGACAGAAATTTTCCTTTCAGGAAATCAATTGCCACTTCCTCCTTCATTTGTTCTGAATTCTGGCCCTTCTCCCTAGTGGATCAGGTGGTGACCTGGCACTACCCCAGACCCTAGCTGGAGATAAAGGGCCAACACTGTTGTCTGTCTTCAGGCTGTTTGTCCTCCCTGCATGGTCTCTCAGAGCCACGTGCCTTGCTAGGGGGCAGATTGAAAACAGACCCATTTTCAAAAACACTGTCTTGAGTCTGCCAAGGTCAGCTGGCTGACCCTGCTCCCTCCCCCAACAGCTCTGTAGGCACCAGAGGCTGGCTGGAGGGAGGTGTCCTATGAACTCAGACTCTACAGACCCCTCAGTCCTTCTCAAGAGTCCATGTGGTAAAAGACACTCAGGGCACATGATGGTCAGGGGTCACACAGCAGGTCCTTCTGTTGAGAGAGTGGGCTTTGTGGCTGAGGGCAGTGACCATTTCTCAGGAACCCAGGGTTACAGGAGGTGGGGGTGGTAATGGCAGTTTGACTCTCTTGTCCCCTGTTGCACCCTGTAAGGATTCTTTACCCAGCCAGACCAAGAGAGTTGGGGGCTAGAGCTTAGTGCTGGCCCTCTGAGAGGTACTCTTATGTGCTGATCTTCCCTCTCAGCAGAGGCAGTGCTCTTTCATCCCTGTTCATAACTGAGAAGCAGAGAAGGGAAATTATATGGGGGACACAGCGACTGAATAAACAGAAGCTGAGTGGGACGATCTGGGGGAACCTAGGCTGGGGACATCAGGGTGAGGGAGGGGACGTTATCTTTATCTTCCCTTTCCTCTTTTCAGGACAGGAAAGAACTCCCTTGAGGGAGATATAGGAACCCTTTAGGAACACCACTGAGCAGACTGGTGCAGGGAATGTTGTCCAAGCCCCAGTTTGGGTGTTTTCTTTTCTTTTTCATTACTGTATATGGGTTTCATTCACTATACTCTCTTTTTTTACCCCTTGGGGCTTGCTTTTGTCTACAAAAATAATGTTTCTGGGGCTGGAGACATGGCTCAGCAGTTAAGAGCACTGACTGCTCTTGCAGAGGACCCAGGTTTGATTCCCAGCACCCACATGGCAGCTATGAACGGTCCTTAACTCCAGTTGCAGGGGAATCCGAAGCCTTCTTCTGACCTCTGTGGCATTGCACGACATAGGTGCACTCACATACATGCAGGCAATACACCCATACACATAAAATAAAAATAATAAATAAAATATTTAAAAAAAGTGTTTCCAGAAAATGTGAAAGTATACCTGGCCTCACTGGGCGTGGTAGGGCATGCCTTTAATCTAGCACATGGGAAGCAGAGGCAGATGGAACTTTGTGAGTTCAAGGCCTGGCCTACATAGTGAGTTCCAGGCCAGCTGCAGCTACAGGGAGACCCTGTCTAAATATATATATATGTACATACACACACACACACACACACACACACACACACACCTGCTGGGTGTGGTCATGCATGCCTTTAATCCCACCACTTGGGAGGCAGAGGCAGGATATCTCTATGAGTTTGAGGCTAGCCTGGTCTACATAGTGAGCTCTAGGTCAGGGAGACCCTGTCTCCAAAAAACAAAAAAAGAAAGAAAGTGAATGTGTACCTGGCTCCAAACATGTATCCCATGTGGTAAGTTTGAAGAAGCGACTGCTTCCATTTGGCAGCTGAGGATGCTGAACCGGAGAAAGGTTGAGCCATTTGCTCAGGGTCACCTAGCCTAAAAAAGGCTGAGGAGGAAATGACAGCTTATTCCTCAGCCTCTGACTTTCCAGGCTGTTGATCTTACCGTAGAGAAAAATCAGCCACCCCATTTCTCCCTCTGCGGGAATCTGCTTCTCATTTTTATGAGAACAGCGCTAAACAGGGTGGGTAGCTGGGGTGGAAGGAAGTGGCCTCTGCTTGTCAAGTCTGCCCTGAAGTGGGCACAAAAGAAGACTCAGTGAGTCTGATAAGCCTACTCCAGGAGGTCTCAAGCTGGGGTGGATGAAAACCAGAGTGATTTAAATTGAATGCTTACCAGGCAGGCCGTGGGGGAAGCTGTCCCTAAGGATGCTGGGAGTGAATTGCCAGGACTTGGTGAGCCCTGTCCATTTGCTGACTCGACGAGGTTGGGGCATGGTCCTCTCTGACTCCTCAACTTCTTGCCTATTACCCTTCCCCAAAATCAGGGCTCCAATGGGACTGCTCCAGCTGTCTCATGGCTGGGTGTGACAGGGCCCCTCCCCTCTCCCTGCAGGAGTAAATGTGATGCTGAGGAAGATTGCTGTGGCTGCAGCATCCAAGCCAACAGTAGAGATCAAACAGGAAGGTGACACTTTCTACATCAAGACCTCCACCACCGTGCGCACCACGGAGATTAATTTCAAGATCGGGGAGGAGTTTGAGGAGCAAACTGTGGATGGGAGACCCTGTAAGGTGAGACCCAGGAAGGTCCCTCCAGGTACCTGCTTACCATGCCTCTTACTGCCCAGCTTTCCTAGATTCTTTACTCTCATGGAGGAGTCCCTAGGGAGTGCAGGGGGCTGGAAAGGGGTCTGTCCCTTCTCCCTCTCACTGGTATGGCTCTTGCTATGGTCTCAACTCACTTTGCCATTGGTGTCTTGCAGAGTCTGGTGAAATGGGAGAGTGAGAACAAAATGGTATGTGAGCAGAGGCTCCTGAAGGGAGAAGGCCCCAAGACCTCTTGGACTAGAGAACTTACCAATGATGGAGAGCTGATCCTGGTGAGCCCTGTCCCCTTCCATCCCCTGGCAGACCCCTGCTGCCTTCAGCCCTCTCTGCCAGGCAGAGCAGCTGTGGCTACCCTCCCCACACTTCTTAGGGGAAACTTGGAAATAGTATCCCTTTTGTCTGCAACAAAGACATGCCCAGAGGCATGCCCACAGTTCTCTAGGGGGCTCTCCCTGACTGGAGGAGGAGGAGGTGGGTTTCTGCTTGATACCCACCAACAATGTCTGGGCATGCTGGGGTCTGTTCTTCCCTGTTTGGATGTGGAGGCAAAGCAGTCTACCTCCATTCAACCCTGTCTTCCAAAACCAATGTGCCCAGGCATGGTACCAGCCACCAATTACTTCTCTTTTCAGACCATGACTGCAGATGACATTGTATGCACCAGGGTCTACGTCCGTGAGTGAGTGGCCATGGGTTCAAGAGCTGCCAGAGCCCTCCTTCGTCTGCCTTCCTCCCCCAAACCACTAACCTCTGTCCCATGCCCATCTCCCATCTAGTTTTTCCCTTGCCTGAGGGCCACTGCCTCCTCTATGGCCTTTTGTTCTTTGCCTCCTCTGCCAACAGAGGGGGTTGGACTGTAAGAGTCCAGATCCCCTTCCGCCTTTACTGCCTCTCCCCAGATCGGCAGTTCCAGCTCCACACCAGGGTCTCCCCTTCCTTGAGACTGTCTCTCTGGCCTCTACTTTTTGTCCCCATAGTCTGTATGGTTTAGAATATTTATTTGTTAATTTTATGAAAATGCTTTAAAAAGTAAAATGCTTCTGTGTCTCCCTTGTCAGTGGTAGGCAAGCGGTCCCTGCTTAGCCTTGCCTGAAGGTCAGTGGGAGAGGGTACTGTCCTAGAAGCTTAGCCACACACAGCACGCCTCATTTGCCTGCAAGGAGTATCCCCTCCATTCCATCCCTCAGCCCTGGTCCCCTGAGTTGGCCCCTACCAAGCAAGGGTGCTGCAGGATTCTGGAGAGCTGCCTCCCACTCTCTTTACCTGTTTTCCATAATGGTGACATGCACTGGCCTCACACATGGCTCCAGATGAGCCCATGGACACCCACATGTTGACCTGCTCCTATCTGGGCCTCTCAGGGAAAAGGTCTCCTACTGGTCAGCACCCGATGTCTGCTATCGTCCTTCCTCCCCATCCCAAGATCTCCCACATGCCCTTTCTGCCCCTGGCTTCCCATCTCCCAGGCCCCTTGGGTATCCTCCCCTCACCCTCACCCTCTCCCTGAGTCTCCATACTCAGTTGTACCAAGTCTTCCCAAATTTTATCCTGATCTCCATCACTCCTCTGCCCAGGCTTCTATCCTAGGCCAGGCCTCAGCACTCACCTGATTCTACACATCAGCGGGTCACTGGTTTGCTGGTCCTTCTGTCCCAAGGAGAACAAGACTGTGAGATGCACACAGGCAAGGAGACAGAGTTCAAATCCTGGTTTTGTCAGTTACATGTTAGTTGTGTGCAAGTTACTTAGCATCTTTGAGTCTTACTTTTTTGTTTTTAAACACAAAATTCCTGCCAGGCATGGTGGTTCATGCCTTTAATCCCAGCACTTGGCAGATTGAAGAAGGAAGACTAATATGAGTTTGAAGCCAACCAGGCTACAGTATGAAATCCTGTCTCATAAGAATAAAAACAGGGCAGGGGAGGTGGCTCACTGGGTAAAGCACTTGCTGTGCAAGTTTGAGGACCTGAATCTGTATCCCCAGAACCATGTAAAACTGGATGTGGTAGCACTCCGATAGGGAGGTGGGAATCCCTGTAGGATCTTGGGCCAGCTAGCCTGGTGTACATGGTGGTGAACAAGAGACCCTATCTCAAACAAAGTAGAAGGGAAGGACTGACTCCTAACATTGTCCTCTGGTCTCCACACACGTGTCAAGGCATGTGCCTCCTGCACCTACAGATCACACTATAATAATAAATAAAATAAAATAAAATAAAATAAAATAAAAAAACAGTGCTTTCATGGGCAGCACACATGTTAAAATTGAGTGATACAGAGATTAACCTGACCCCCTTGCAAGGATGACTCCCAAATTTGTGAAGTGTTCCATATTTTTCAGAACGCTTCTCTATTTACCTGCACAATTCTAGAAGTACCTTTGAAACCTGTTATTTCAGAATCTTGTGTGAAAAAATAGTAAGGGGTGGGGTTTGATGTAGCACAGTGGTAGAGCACATGCTTAGCATGCATAAAGCCAGGGGTTTGAACCACAGTACCCCAAAACAGAAACAAAATAAAATAAATAAAAATAACAAAATTTCACTACCTCGTCATGTCCAGAATGAAACATAGACTGGTACTAGGTGGCCTTTAAGAGGCTCCTACCCTTTCTGTGTTCAGATCCTTCAAGAAGGCTTGTTACTCTCTCCACCTGTAAAAACACTCAGCAAGCCTCCCTAGCTAACTTAGCTGGGGGTAGCACAGCAGCCAGTACTCAGTCAGTACTGCCGGTTGGCTGCTCCATGACCTCCTTTCCCTGTAGGACAGGGTCAACTGGAGCCAGGTCCAGGCTGTACAGGGCAGAGTGTCAGGGCCAGAGAGCAGGGAGAGTCCTTCCTCTCTGAGCAGGGGTGTGGAGTGTGGGAGAAGAGAATGCTTTCATTTACTCACCCTGAGTGCCTCCCAGGAGCCAGGCACCTGACTAGATCCTAGGAACACAGAAATGAGTAAAAGGGACAAACTGCCCTTGTGGGGCCTATGCAGGGAAAGACCTCAAAACGGGAAAGAGACAAAAAGTACTCCCATAAACACAAAACTGCAGGTCGTGGTAAGTGAGAGCAGGCCTCATTTAAAAAAAAAAAAAAACACATTTTATTTATCATTTTTATTTTATGTGTATGAGTGCATTGCCTGCATGTATGTGAGTGCACCCACGTCGTGCAATGCCGCATCCGCGGAGGAGAGAAGAGGGCTTCGATTTCCCTTGGAACTGGAGTTAAGGACGGTTTGTAGCCACCATGTGGGTGCTGGGAATCGAACCCAGGTCCTCTGCAAGAGCAGTCAGTGCTCTTAACCGCCGAGCCATCTCTCCAGCCTGGAGCAGGGCTCATTTGATTGGGCAGAGGTGTCTAGAAAGGAGGGGCTAGGAGGACTGGGATTAAAAGTACTCTAAGGAGCCACAGATAAGGAAGGGGAGGCAGAGAAACACTTGGGCTGACTGAGGTCCATGTCAGGTCAGGACTGGATCATTCAGAACCTGAGGCCATGCTATTTATTTCTTCTTATTTCTTATTTTTATAGCATTGAGAAGCCACCGACAGGGTTTTAAAAGGGGGTTTGGGTGTTTGCTTTGGCTACTAGGTGGAGATGTATTAAAGAAAACGAAGAGTGAAGGAGAAGCTGGCAGGAGGCTGGTGAGATGCCTGGGCTTAGAGTAGTCAGAAATCTGGCAGAGACTCACCATGGATTCACAGAAGGGGGAAAAGGGGCTACTGAGGACTGATTTGGGGCTTCTGCCTTGGGTCGGTGCATGACAGGGGATTCTCTTTTCCAAAACTGGAAAAATGTCTCTTGCTGGGCTGACTGCAGAGAGTCTTTCTCAGGCTGATTTCTTGGAATCTAGAACTCAATTACGTAGCTGTGGCCTTGTCCTCTTTCCTTCCCTTTAACCTGGCTCCCATTCTGCCCTCCCCAGGTCTGGGGGTCTGGAGCTCAGTGGTTTTGAGGTCCTTGGTCAGACTGGAGGCTCCCCAGAAGCAGGGTTCCCTGAGAGTAGAGAAGGCTGGTTCCTCCCTCCTTCTGCTTGGACTCTGCTTCTCTAGGATGTCCCTGCCTGTCAGCTATGATGACCAAGAAGTTGCAGTCATGAATAGGGAGACTGGATCAGGGCAGGCCCATCTGGCTCAACCGTGAGAAAGTCCTCCAGCCTCCCCCAGCAGCTGTGACAGAGACAGAGGGGAAAGCTCTCTCTCCCTCACCTTATCTGAGTAGGTTGAGAATGTCTGCCTTACTCAGCAGTGCTGCTGGGAAAAGGGCCGCTCCCACCACCACCACCTTTCTGAGGTTCTGGAGAACCTTCTCTTCTCTGAAGCTCAGACTTCTCAGAACCCAGCCCAAAAGAGGTCATGTCCCTTGGACAGCAGAGGGGACAGAGTATCCAAACAAGGCCAGCATCCAGGAAACCAGAGAGTAAAAGGGCAGAGACAAAGTGGGGCAATTGTGTGAAGAGGTGGCAGGGGCACTGCCCAGCACTGCTCCTAGTCTACACCAAGATCTAGGGAAACTGAGATGGAGACAACCCCTCTCACCCCCACCCTCCAAGAGATAGGAGCTGAGAAAGGCCCATCAATGACAAAATTCAGAGATCCGGGACAAGGAGGAAATCAGAAAGGACCCAGCCCTGAGGTCTCCAGCACCAGATGGCAGCTAGTCAATACCATGAGTGGTAGGAAGGCCAAGACAGAGGAGCCCACAGGGTCAGGGAGTAGAGTTAGAGTCAGGGAGTCCAGAGAATGAAAAAGCACACACGCACACACACACATATGCACATACACACATATACATACACACATACGCACATATACATACACATACACATACGCATACACACATATATACACACATACGCATACACACATATGCATACACACATATACATACACACATCCACATACACACGTATACATACACACATACGCATACACACATGCATACACACATACGATATACATGCACATACATATATAAACACATATACATGCATACACACATACACATACACACAAGAGATGGAAGGAGAAAGACAGACAATGAGAAAGAGAGGAGGGAGAAAGTCACTCCTGGACTAGTAAGAGACTAGGCCATGAGAAGGAGGTAAGGAAGTCTGGGGAAGATCAGCAGGAGATCTAGAGATCCAGACCCCAGAGGGCTTAGAGGGAAGAGAGGGCCTCAGGATGGGGTCAAAGGAGAGGGGACATGCCAGCCAGGCCCTCTGACCCCAGGTCCTGACAAAGAACTGCTTAAGGGTCTACAGATAAGATGGATGGGACTGGAGTGCCAGGGCCTTTGTGATGGGGATGAAAGGAATCTGTTCCGAGGAGGTCGCGCTTTCCCCTGCCCTTGCTTCCCTGAAGGAGCTTCAGTGTTTGTGGGGATTGGGGGAAGGGCTGAGTCCAACCAGATGTTTCTCCCGGTCATGCCACCTGTCCTACCTGAGCAAGACCTGGGCAGAGCAGCAGGGCTTCATCTAGTGTGGATACAGAGAAAATGAATCAGTTCTAAGCAGACAAGTGCATACAAAGCAGAGGGAGGCTCCAGCAGAGGCTGATGGGGTCCTAGAGACCTACAGGGGGACCCTGGACAGATCTTCTCCACATCCCCTTTGGGCCTGGCACTGCCCTCTTGACCTTTTGGCTTCCTCTTGCTCTTTCCCTGTTGGCTTTGCCAGTCGAGAAACCAGTTCTGTTCCTGCCTGGATAAGGATCTCAGCAGGGCTCTTCCCAGGCCACCGCAGAAACCTACCAGGCCAATTGCACCTCACAGCTGTGAGATTTCTTGCCACACCTCCAGCCAGGTCCTCCTTCACCACCTCCCAACCCTATCTACCCCTAGTGCCCTGCTTCAGGGTTAGCTCTGTCTCCCAGGAAGTGCCTCCACTACCTGACCTGGTCTCTTCCTGGGACTCAGCTATGTGCTCGTCAAAGCAGAAGGCAGGGCCCTCCCTTTTGTGCTCCAGAAGCCAGGTGCTGCTCCTGCCCACCCCCTTTTCCCTAGCAGCTGCTTGAGCCCATTAGCCCCTTTCCCACTTACCACAGCTACTCTGAATAATGGCTCCCTTTAGCAGGCCCGGTCATTGGCCTGAAGAGGTTGAGTAGGATGGGGTGACCCCACTTAACCCCAGCCTTTGGTCTCCTCTTGAGTCATCACTCATTTCCCATGACACCCTGGCCTCTTATCCTTTGGAATAGCAGTCCCCCCCTACTCCTCAGGGAAAGGACTATGAAAGGTCAACTCTATTCTTTTTCCTTCTCATCAAATATCTTCCCAACCCCTGTCCTTATCAGGTACTCTGAAACTTCAGACCCCTCCTTGTTTCTGTACCAACCAATCTCAGGATTAGAGGCTGCCCCCAACTTCTCCTAGGGCTTGGTCATTTTCAGGGGGGTGGGGAAACTCAGCAAACAGAGGACCATTCAGGAAGCATCTGGGGGTGGTAGGTATTGAGCAGTGACTGGCCAGTGACTGGCTCATCTCCACCCCTTGAGGTAAGCCAGTGTGTCAGGCCAGGCTGAGACTCCAGCCAGTGACTCTGGCCCCAGTTGCCCACAACTGTGCAGTCCTGTGCTGATAGAGGTTGGGAATTGTAGAAGAAGAAAACAGAGTCCTAGAAGAAAGGGACCAGTGGATTGTGTGAGAGAAAATCAGACCAAACAAAGACCACTAAAGGACATGGCTAGCTTGGGGGAGTAGGGTATGCCACCCAGGTGTCAGGGAAACCTTGGGTATATAGGAGGTACCACATGGTTCACCTTGGTTCCAAAGATGCCAGTAGACCATGACATCTTCTTCCTCTCCAGTGAGGGGAGGGCTTTTTTGAGTGGAAAGGCATGCTAGTAGTTCCCAGGATTTAATTCTCACTCTCAGTCTGGAGTTGGCAAGTCCCCACCAGTAGAGGCTAGACCTGTGTAGCCCCCCAGCTCAGGTGGGGATCATTAATTGAGGATTCAGAAGGAGCCTGAGGCCAGGTATCCGGGGTCAGTCCTGACCTGCTGGGGTAGCAAGACTCACTTTCTCCTGACACTGCCTGGGCAGGAAGGCAGGTGAAGACTTCTCAGAGGTCAAAGTCAGCCCCATGTAGCTAAGTATAAGGAGCCACAAGAGGAGTCGGGCTGCCCCACATTGGGTTCCCTACAGCCAGTGTGATAGCTGTTTGTAGGGATCTGATGCCTTGGGTATTCCCTGTCCAAACATTTATTGAGCATCCATTATTGACGGTGTGATAGGCAGGATGGATATCTGCTGACTCTCCCTGGAGCCAAGTGGTCTGAGGGGCCTGCGCTGTGCGGCCACTGCCCAGTGCCTAGTCCTCTCTGGTCACTGGCAGCCCCGGCCAGGCTG